ATAATAAATAAGTATATTTATAATTTTTGATCGACCCCAAAACAAAAATGTTTTATTTGCTGAAAGTGGAAAAGAAACTGTTGATTTCATCTTTCACATTTTTATATATTTTTTTATAGCTGCTGTTATTAAATTTGTTGGCTAAGCTTCTTGGCCAGCGTTGAAATTTTAAACACTGCCTACATACAGCAGGGAAAGAATAAAAAAATCATTTTGAATCAAAAGGCACAAAAAAACTAGTGATTTGTGTGTAGATAAATTCTTAGTAAAGAAACTAAAGGTTTGTTTGTAGAGGAAAATAGAGAAGAAAATGGTTCAAATGGAGAAGAAAGAGAGAAAATGATGAGAATATCCTTCACTTAAATGAAGAAATCAAATGGAAATTGATGAAAATGACATATTGCGCAACGAAATGTATAATCGAGGGTGAAAATGTCAAAAAATAGAAGATATGGATATTTTTCACAATGATAGTGATAGATATGGATGTTATGTTCTAATTACCACCTTTTTTACTTGTGTTTCTATTTTAAAATGATATGAAGAACTTATTTCTTCGAGAGAAAGATTTATACAAATATCCCATTTGGCGGAGCTTTTGCTTTATAGTCTATTTTGTAGGAGTTCTACTTCAAAAAAAAGAATTTCTTGAGAAAAGTATAACTTTTTTAAAAAGCTCTTCTAGCCTTGAAAAAACACATTTAGATAATTATTCTAATATATTCAAAAGAGAAAAATGCTACTCAGCTAGGTGCAAAATCAGGCTCAAAAACAGGAAGTCGAGGTGGCAACACCTCGGCCCTTAGATCTGAATAAAAAATAAAAATAAGTGAAATCGGGGGCTGAGATGGCCTGTTTTTGAGCCTGTTGTTGAGCCTGGCTCAGTAGCAGGGCTGTTCAAAAGATATCAAACAAAATCCTTCGACATCTTGTGTTTTATGATATCAAGTATTACATTAGTAAAGAATGAGATGTACAGAAGATAAACGAAAAAATTAAGGATTATCATGAGGAAGATGTGTGTTCGGATAACACAGTTTCAGATAGAAAGAGTAATCAAACATCATCACGATTTAATTATTTGAAATCTTCCTCATAATAAGTCAAACATAAGAAAAAGAATTTGTTTGAATTTTCAGGAATTGTAATTTGAATTGGTACATGCTGAGTATCTCTTTGCGTAACGCATAGTAAAAGCATGCAGAAAAAAACACATATTTCAAAGACTAAAACTTTCCTTTATATTAACGTAACAAATTCAAACAATTACTTCCATTGAGCCATTAACATCTGTCTACATTTTTCAAACCATACTTTATCATAACTATACTTGTCAAGATTACACAAATATTCGATCATATACTTTGTATTTTACACGTAAAAGTCGTAAAATTTGTCGATTTTACTATGTAATTGTCCGACGCGACCAATTTTTTTTTATTTTCTTACATTTTCTTTAAATGCTTAAAAACATTACAAAAACCTTAATATCTATTTTGACATCTCCTAAACCGCTTTTGTTGCCTATAAAGCCGTAAATTAAGTTCAAATTAAATGAATGGCTATAATTGTGACATTTTAGGGACCCCAACTCGGGTCCATTGTCCTTCTTAACGAGATACTTCATATATTTCAACTTGGGTGTAAGATGTATGAGTTGTGTGATATAGCGACGGAATTAAATGAAATACTTATACGTGTCGATTTTATAATGTCATTGAAGCATAAATCCATAAATATAATGCGTGTCCCACCTCTCTAAGTAAGTAGGTAATGTTCATAAATTCCATGTACCATATCTGAAGTATATTAATGTTAGATACAGAATGAACAAGACCCACCCCTTTTGGTGCGACATGATAAAAGGCATTGTTAAGAAAGTTTTCAATTTTGACAAGATTTTATTTAATTTAGAGCATGTTTGGCTTTGCTTAAATGCTAGAAAATAAGCCATAAACTATCCTTTTTTCAGCTTTTCAGCTCTTATCGTCGTGCATTTAAGCCAATTTTTATGGGAAATCGACTAGATTAATGATAATTAATTGGTTTAAGTTTTGGAAAGTGATGAATAATGTTATATCCCTTTGAAATTTAAACTTTAGACAGGACGAGAGCTCACAATAGCTTACACTGTGTTAAAAATAAAAAAATAAATAAATGAGGATGAAAATACTAGAACAAGTCCTGTAATCAACTTAGGGTCAAAGTTCTGGTTGAATAATAAAATAACATAGTAGACAAGCATGTACAATTATTTCCCAATGCATTCAACTTTGGATCCATCTTGATCTGTACTGTGTGGCCTTAATCTACTGTTTACATTGCACGACTAGTAGAATGTGTATTCAATGTATATTCAATGTAAAAGATTGACATTTGACACGTTTGATGCTTTGGAAAGAGTGGGCTCCTTGGTATACTAGTCATCAATGCATAAGATAACTACTTTTCTCATCTTCAATCGATTACATTTCCTTTGATCCCACCCCAAGCAAGTAATGCTTCTCAATTTTCTCGGATTGATTGGTCGAGTTTGCCATTGATTATCGTATAATTGTTGGGAGCATATTACAATCAATGCTTAAATAGTCTCATGACACTATGCAAGAACTCCTCTAATGGGCCGAGGACAATTACACCAAAACTATTGGTATCAACATTTAATGTAAAGACAATGATAAGACAATAAAATTGTTATAGTATTACGTTTATATCAGAGAGTTAGATAGTAGAATGTGGGCCTAGAATGATCACACCGAATCTAGGGGTATCAACATTTAAAGTGAAGACAGTGAATTACCATAATATGACGTCATTTGTCACAAAATTAGATATTGGAGTAACAAGCATGAAATGTGATGATTTTACATCTATATTGAAGAAGGGTATAACAAATATAGATGTGGACATCCTACCACTTTTCGATGTAAAATGTGATAATTTCAATAATTATGACTTTGTGCGGACAAGTGATGCGATAAGACCTAATCCAACTAGACCCCGTGCACTAAACTCTAACAAGATTTCATCAAGTTAAATTTTCAATTGATCCTTGAATTTATTAGATCATAAGTAAACTTACCTACCTAAAACTACTTTTGCTTTCACTAATTTATGTTTATAACGTAGCATAATTACAAACTTTTAAAATTTTCAACTAATGTTAAAATCAAAGACTTCTCATTTATACGAATTTACTTGATTTACATGAAATTTTTTATCCACTAGGTTTTTGGTGGCAATAAAAGGTACCCACACAAAGACTGATTTAACAAAAAGGAAGAAAAAGCGAAAATTATTCTACAGTTAAGTGTACATACGAGGGTGTGTATGTATATAACGTGGGAGAGAACAAGCAAAGTTTTCTTTTGGGTTTGCTTTTGGGTAATTAGTACAAAACATCCCTACCTTTCGATGTTTTTGTGGAAAAAGTCCATACCTTTCATTTTTTGGTGGATTACACCCTTACCTTTATATTTTTTTTGCACAAAACGTCCTTCTGTCAACTCTCCGTTGAAATGTTCCGTTAAATCAAAAAGGTAATTAGCACAAAAGGTCCCTACCTTTCAAAGTTATTGTGCAAAACGTCCATACCTTTTATTTTTTAGCATAATTAGCAGAAAAGGTCCCTACCTTTCAATATTATTGTGCAAAACGTCCCTACCTTTCATTTTTAGCATTTTCACCCCTACCTTTCACTTTTCATTGCAAAAAAGGTCATTCTCATCCATTTTTTCAATAAAATGACGATTTTACCCTCCTATTCAAATAAAACAAAAAGAAAAGATGAATTACCAACTGCAACCATAATCCTTAAATTTTTAAAAAATTACAAAAAATCATAAATTCTCAACCACCACCATTTTCACAACCTATCAAATTGCCAACTATAAATCCACATGATACCACCTTTCGGCCACCATGCCCACCAGACTCTACCACTGTAAATGTGGTTGTTTCGGACAAATTGGTGATCAATACTATGGAGGAGGATATTGGGGAGAGTGAGACGACGCTGGTGGTGGTGGAGTCCTATGTGTTGTGGTCGAAAGTGGTGCTATATGGATCTATAGGTGGTGGCTTGGTGGGGTTGTGAAAGTGGCGGTAGTGGAGAATTTAGGATTTATCTGTAATGTTTTGAAAGATTTAGAACTATGATTGCAATTAATTAATTATTTTTTTCTTTTCTTTTTGTTTTATTTCAATAGGAGGGTAAAATCGTCATTTTATTGAAAAAAATGGATGAAAAGGACATTTTGCGCAATGAAAGGTGAAATGTAGGGGTAAAAATGCTAAAAATGAAAGGTAGGGACATTTTGCACAATAATATTGAAAGGTAGGGATCTTTTCTGCTAATTATGCTAAAAAATAAAAGGTAGGGACGTTTTGCACAATAACTTTGAAAGGTAGGGACCTTTTATGCTAATTACCTTTTTGATTTAACGGAGCATTTTAACGGAGAGTTGACAGAATGACGTTTTGCGCAAAAAAATGTAAAGGTAATGGTGTAATCCACCAAAAAATGAAAGGTAGGGACGTTTTCCACAAAAATATCGAAAGGTAGGGATGTTTTGTGCTAATTACCCTTTGCTTTTTGATACAATATATACATACATATATTATGGAAATGATGTAACGAGCATCGATGCTTAGTTTATGTTAAGTGTCAGTGACGTAACATACCAATTAATTAGTGAATCATTAAATTTATGGACGTAACATTATCTTATTCACCAGTTAATTGGTAGGCTAGTTTCATTTCTTAAATACAGATATATAATGTGGGAGAGAACGAGCAGAGTTTCTTTTTGGGTTTGCTTTTTGATACAATAAATACATACATATATTATGAAAATGATGTAACGAGTATCGAGAATTAAGTATTTGTGACCTAACACATCAATTAATTAGTGAATAATTAAAATTTATGGACGTAACATTATCTTACTCACCAGTTTATTGGTAGGCTAGGTTTCAGTTCCCAAATACAGATATATACGTGTAAGGGATCATTCACACGCCTTCTATCAACTAGTTTTGTTCTTTTTCGGACCTTTTTTCTGTTCAATATCTCTTCTTCCGAAGTTTCTGTTTGTTTCTGTGACAATTAATACGGCGGTTACATCTGCAGAGGGTTTCTTGACGGTGGACATTGTATATATATAGGGCCCTCCTCAAAACAATTCTCATTCAGTTTATTCAAGAATCAGAGATATTTTTGAGAGAATATAAAAAATGGAGGGTGGGAAAAAAACACAATCAGGATCTTCACTCACTTCTGGTCTTTTTGGCTCAAAGAACGCTGCTTCTGGTTCATCTTCTGGGATTTACGGATCACTCTTCACTCCTCCTGATAAGGTACTTGATTGATTAATGTTAATGGGCTCACTGCATTCTGTACTTGAATTCTGTGAATGAATAGATACCTGTTTCTATTTCACAGATTAAACCTTGTGCTGGGGTTTTGGTTTTTCCAGGAATTAAGCGTTTGAGGTTTATTTAGAGCGTTTAAGAATTTTATGCAAGTGAAATTTATCTTATTTGGTCAAAATCCTGTAAGGAAATGGAGGGCTTTACTCGATTTGAGTATTTTTTTTATTCAGGGGAATGGAATTAAAACAACATAACTCAAGTTGCCTTGAAAAGGAGATTCAATCCCTTTATGATCAAATTGTCTCGTTACTTCAGGTCCTGGGACAGGCGTACTCTTTCCATTCATTAGAATCCAGGAAGAAAGATAATGCTGTAAATCAGGATTGGAGTGCCATGACTGGATTTCCAGGTGTGTAATTCTTGATGGAACTGAATGAATGAAAAATGGTTAAAGTTTTCAAAATCGAATTTGTGGTTCATTATTGCTTTTTATGTGCATAATTTGGCAGTATATGTTAACTAACTGACTCTTGTACAGATAACAATGCTTTGATCAATGAAGGCCAAAGCCAGAGCAGTCGAAGCAAGGACGTGAATTCATATTTTCAGGAGGAGAAAACGAAACCGTGTAATTATAGTTCATCGATATACTATGGTGGCCAAGACCTATGCACTTTCCCGGAGAGCACGAAAGGATCTAGCTTTACAACTGTTAGTACCCTTTACGCACTAAAGTCGGTCACCTTTAATGTCCTTTTTCCATTAATTATCCAATTTTGAATACCTATAATGATTATGGACTGCACTAGAAAATGAAAATCGTGGTGATTAGTTCTTTAATGATTGTTAACGGAACAGTTTGATCGAAAATCCCACAATTAATTATATGAATATTGTAGTGCTAATGTTGGAATAATCATCGCGAATAGCCATTTTTTTCTTTACTGTTAATCAAATTTGATTGTGTATTATCTTTTTGCTTTATGATCAGTTCAATAAAATGTTGGAATAATCATCACGAATAGCCTTTTTTTTGTTTACTGTTAATCAAATTTGATTGTGTGTTATCTTTTTGCTTTATGATCAGTTCAATAAATATGAGGCAGAGGACGACTCTGGCATGGCTTCGAGAGGGAACTGGTGGCAGGGTGAGTTCGTATGACCACTTATTGCTTGACGTGATATGGTGGCTAAGTTTAGCTTGTATTAACACTTCAATTTTCTTTTGTGGCAGGATCCCTTTATTACTAACTGGTTATCATCCCCATGGCATGTGAAATACCAGATACTTACCTAGGTATTTATCATCAAAGTTCTTGTGGAAATGCAGATCTTGAAAAAGTTCTCCTTTTTGTACTAAAAATCAATAACGTAAGGTGAAATCAGGTCAAAAATTTATTGCTACATTTTCACACCATTTGTCAACATTCCTTGAAATTCATTATCAGATTGCTTGAAATTATGCTTTAATACCATCCTGAAAAATTTAAGATAATGTCTGTCCAATCATGCCTGATGAGGAGGTTATTTAATGTAATATCGGCCAAGGAAACCGGGACACCTCTCGGAAAGATTAGGTTTACTTTAAATTCTAGATTAAATTCGAACACGAGGTAAATCAGACTTCGTCTATTCATTTATAAACGATCAAGGGATATATCACGTATTTTTCTAATTCGCTGCAGGACACAGATGTGGGCAGCAGCGGTTTTTTCCTGCTTCCTGGAATAATAGAAAAATAGGTGGAAAATAGTAGCTAGCCTTGCATTTGTGATGTCGAAATATAGCAATTATTATAAGTAATTGTGTTTAGTAATGTGTCCCTGATTACTTTCTACCCAAATGTAAAAGTCTATAAACTCGGTGATTTTATAGCCTTTTGGCTGTAAAATATATATATATTATGCTCGTCTATCTTTCATGTCTGGTGAGTTGAATTTATATAATGCTATATACCAAACATATCCCGAATATATTGTCCAAGAGTTTGTCCAATATTTTTTGCAGCATACAGAAATTGAAGATATCAAGAATGGGCAACTGTTGGTAGTATATATCACAGAAAACAACAATTTTGACTATGGAACAAGGACCACCTCTGTTCCTTGTTGGATAAGGTTTAAATGAAAATGATTTTTGTTTGAAAGTTATTGTCAAATATTGTTGCTTTGGATTCTGTTTGACCACATTTTGGAATCTAGAAAACTTTGTTGCCAGATTTTAGATAAGATTAGATGGGATTAATCATGTGGAAAAATTTCGAAGTGACGCGGAAATGGTGAGCAACATGAGCATTGAAATTGGTGTATTTTGTAGTGATGTGGAGAGGGGGATATTGCTGGATGTACAATAACAATTACAATGGACAAACATGAAAATTAGATACACGTCCTAATCTTATACAAATACTATTGACTTGAGCAAAGGAAATATATGTGATGTGAGGAATACGTGTATGTTAAGCCGATTGTACCAAAATAATATTTGTGCATTCAATTCATTGTGTTTTCAAGGATGATGACATCATGTCCTCTAATAATTTCGGTACTAGAAACATGTGGATACAATAATTCGTCAACCGTTGTGTAACTCTAGAAGCCCAAGAGTTGTGTGCGAGTAGTTTCAACGTGCTATATCATAAAATCCAGCTAAAACTTTGTCTGATTATCCCTCCATACCAGTAATTCACTTGACAGTTGAAGTTCAAACAATTGCTGAACAATACCTTCATATGACGGCCTTTGTACTTATTAAAGTATCCAAATGTGCAGATAACATATAAGTAAAAGAAAAGGCGACAAAAGATACGAATAATTGAATGAATAATTGTGAAAATGGGGGAATTGTATTATATTAAAACATTTTTCGACCATGTAGCATCTGGGCATTTGGTCTAGTGGTATGATTCTCGCTTAGGGTGCGAGAGGTCCCGAGTTCAATTCTCGGAATGCCCCCATCCCTATTTTTAGTTTTTCAAATATTGGGCAAGTGGACAGTTCTCTGATTCCTTCCCAGTTTGGAACTATTTTTATCTTTTAATTTCTTCCCATCTTTGTTTCTTGCCCTTTTCAATCTGTAAAAGCAATCCAAATAATTCAGATGGCTTGTCGTTTTCTGACGATGCTAACCACAAAATTGTGTCATCAAATGTCTTCTCGGAGTAACGATTCTAACGAATTCGTTTTTAAATTTAGTTATGAAAAGTATGTATACGTAGAAATTCCCTTTATGTTATACGAGGCCTTTACTTATAAACGAGTCTATATGATTAGCCAAGACGAGTGGCAATTTTCACGAAGTCAAGTGATGATCCGTGCACTCAACCTTTTCAATATAACTGTTTTCATTGGCTGAAATTTATGATGCAACGATGGTTTCGCAGACAATTCCAAATGAAAGTCTTCTTGAATCCAAAATGAGAAACGTGTATCATTTCCCACTAGAATTTTCTAATGAATTGGATACAATCCCTTTCATAGTGGAGAATTCCATGTTCAATGCAAAGCCACCAATAAAAATTCACCACCATTTCCTATTGAAGTTTCTTGAAAAGTTCAAGAAACCTCAAACCTTGCAAAGTACTGAACAAAAAAGATTGCTGAGATCAGCTTTGGGGGAGTACTGAACAACTCAGCTTGTGAGTGTAAAAATAATTAAATGGTTAAATAATATATTTATATTTTAAATGAAAACTTGAACCAAATGAGTCTTTATTGGAGGATCGAGAATTATCTGATCAATATTGAACTCATTTCAAAACTCGTAATAAATGACATATTATTGACTCTAAAAAAAGTTAATTTGGATAAACTAAATTATAGTTATAACTCATTAAAATAAAATACTTAATGTATAGTATTAGTTTTCTAATTAAACCATATTATCATAACAATATTGGGCTCCTTTGATAGGTCATAATTAATCATGTATATTAAATTCGAAAAAAATTATTCTAAATAAACTCGAATTAAGTTAGAATTGATAAAAAAAAATTGTAGTAAAATGAATTTTTCATTAATTTTTCTTTTAGTTGGGTAATGTAATTTCTTCCATTTTGAGGCCCTTTAGGAAAAGAGGCCCTAGGCCATTGCCTTGTTTGCTGGGCTCTAGGGCCGGCCCTAGTTATGGGCTAAGTTCTTGGATGACAGTTTTTATGTTGTTACGTCCAGTAGAATATACCAAACATGTCGTCGGGTGTTTAACCATTCAATAATTAACGATTTTTTCGTTTTATGTGTGTTTTGGTGTTTTCCTACAATGCAGAAAGCTTGTTGGAGCAAGGGAGATGAGCAAGAGAAGGCCAACGAAGAATCTACTGGACTTCTAAAATTCTCGATGACTCTTTCGGGCATGAAATTCTTTGGGGGTGACACTATTGGAATGGTTGATATAGTTGCCAATTTCATATCATATTAGTTTATAATTCTGCAAGAATTGGCAGGATTTCAAGTGTTGACAAAAGAGAAATTTCCGAAGTTAGGTGATGGATGAATGACTACCTAAACTGCAACATTATAAAGGAAAATCTACCTTCCAAAAATAAGTTAACCGAAGTGTTCGAGATCGTTTTGAAGTTGCTGTTGTTGCTGCTTTTAAATGAAATTTACATAACTAATTACTTATTTTTCAATATTGCACTCGCAATTATGTAATAAAGGAAATTATGACTACTCTTTTACCTAATAATTATTAAGAAACAATTCATTTTAAATCAGAAATAAGGTTTCTTTGAAAAACTTGTATTGCTCTTCTCAATGTTGGCATAAATAGCTACTGTATATGGTAAGATCCTACAGTTAAGGATCGTAATAGATTAATATAGGAAAGAATAAACTACCTAAATAATTACAGGGATTCTAATATATTCTATACTAGTAACAACAAGGAAAGAAATGAAGAAGTAAGTAATCTTGAAGCATTAACGGATCGTACACCAACTTGGAAAGAATCAAGCAAGAAATGTCAACACTCCCCCTCAATTGGTGCATAGATATCACTCATGCCCAACTTGTCGAGACGATTGTTAAAACTTGGTTGGACACTGCCTTGGTTAGCGCATCGACAAGCTGATCTTGAGACTGAACATGAGGAACTTCAATAATTCTTGCTTCTTGCTTTTCCTTGATAATGTGCCTATCAACCTCAACATGTTTAGTTCTATAATGTTGGACTGGGTTGTGGGCAATATCACATGTTGCTTTGCTATTAAGTATAATCTCATAGGACTTGTTTACTCAATGTGAAGCTCTTACACCAGATTCTTGATCCATAATAATTCACATATTGCCTTGGTCATTCCCCTATATTTGGCTTCAACTAATAATCTATCCACCAATTCTTGTTTCTTACTTTTCCATGTGACTATATTTCCGCCTACAAATGTAAAGTATCCAGGTGTAGATCTTCGATCCTCTATTGACCGAGCCCAATCGGCATCGGTATAACCTTCAAGTTTAAAGTTGCCTCTCTTTTTAAAAAAAAAAATTCCTTTTCTTGGAGATGATTTCAAGTAGCACAAGATAGGGTAACTACATTCATATGTTCTTCACTTGGAGAGTGCATAAACTGACTCACCATGCTTTTTACATAAGCTAAATCATGTATGGTATGTGCAAGATACATTAACCTCCCAACTAGACTCTGATAACGTTCCTTGTTTGCATGGAATTGATCTGGATGTGTACTCAGTTTCAAATTTTCTTCCATAGGAATACTAACTGGACCACATGCTATCACACCAGTTTCTTTCAACAAATCCAAAGTATGTTTTCGTTGGGATCGAAAAATTCCATCCTTTGATCTTGACACTTCAATTCCAAGAAAGTATTTTAAGTAGTCAAGATCTTTCATTTCAAACTCTCAAGCAAGATGACTCTGCAATGTTTTCTTCTCTTCAAGATTATTTGCAGTTATTGTCATATCATCAACTTACACAATATGAGTTGTGATTGCTTCCTCGTTAGAATTCAAAAAGAAAGTATGATCTGAGTTGCTTTGCTTGAACCCAATAGACTTATAAAATTGGTGAACCTTCCAAACCACGCCCTCGAGGACTGCTTCAAACCGTATGGAGACTTTCTTAGTTTACATACTTGTTTGCTTTCTTTAGTTTGTATAATACATCCAGGAGGTAATTTCATATATACTTCTTCTTGGAGATCTTCATGCAAAATGCATTTTTCTACGTCAAACTGGTGTAAGGCCAGGTAAGATTCGCGGCTAGAGATAGTAGAATTCGAACAGTATTGATCTTGGCTACGGATGCAAATGTTTGAGTATATCCTTTGGCAACAAGCCTTGCTTTGAACCTTTCAATGGTGCCATCGAATTTATACTTAATGCTAAATATCCAACTGCATTCGACTTGTGTCTTTTGCATAGGTAAGTCAACCACTTCCCATTTTGAATCCTTTTGGTGAGACTCATTTCTTCATTCATAGCTTCTCTCCACCTAGGATCAAGACCTCTTGTGCACTACTAGGAGTAGATATAGCAAATAATTAATTCACAAATGCTTTACTTTCCTTTAACAATCTATGATAAGACACAAAATTTTTCGTGGGATACTGAGACTTAGAAGTAAGAAGAGGTTCATAGTTAACTCTAGATTTTTCTCTTATGTTTCTATGAGGCAGTACTTTTAGTTGAGTTCAAAATTTATCTAAGGTTCAGACAAGGACTCGAACTCTTGAAGCAATTGTTCCACTGGTACATTATGAACGGGGAAGTAGTCGGCTGAGATTCTGGTTGTACCATTTCCATCTGATCTTGACTGTTTTCATCCTGTGAATCATGCTCATTTATATAATCTATATGTTCATTGCTATAATTCAAATACTTCCACTTGGATATCCAGTTCTTTCATCCAATTTGTCACTACTTATGAAATGGTGGTGAGTCAACACCTCCTTGTCCACCTGGTGGTGTTTAGCGTTCCCACTACTCCGTCAGGCATGTGTAACCTGAAAAATGAGGGGGGACTTTCTCCCCCGTTTTACCTCCGGCGTAATAATCAGTATATGGTATTAGGAAAAATAAGGACGAAATTCAGATGGCTAAGAAAAATGCTATCCCCCATAACTTTGTCACCTTCGGGAATATTTATAGACACCGAAAACCGGTGAATGTCACATGGTCGTGGTACCACGTGTCCTACGTTGGCTTTCCCACTACCCCCACGTTCTAAGTGGGGGATCTTTAACTTTCCAGCTAGACAACCCGTGGTAACCGCCATGAAACCTTGTCAATTCATCAGAGATCTTATGGCTAAGTATTAGGGTGGTCTCGTAGGTAATTACATGCCGTTCGACGATATCGCGTAGAGGTAGAGCGTCCCTGGTGATCGATGGCCACGCGTGGAGGTAGAGAGCCCATAGGGGGGTCGATG